CTCCCACAGACTTCTCCACCTCCCTTGGCAATGCACTTCTTTCTTCTCAAGGAAGGAAAATGACACTGGAGGACGTGTTTTGGGTACAGAAAATGCATTTCTTCACTCCAAAGGGACTGCAGTTACTGTGAAAAAGTCGCTCAGTTGTATCCGACTCTTTGTGACCCCATGGACTATACAGCCCATGGAATTCTCCAGGCCAGAATGCTGGAGTGGGTAGCCTTTCCCTGCTCCAGGGGATCTTCCCAGCAGTTACTGTAAAAATGTGTTAATCGGTGGCTTTCTGGTGGCTCAGATGGTAAAGAATCCGCCTGCAATGCAGGAGACCCAGGTTCTATCCCTGGGTGGGGAAGCTTCCCTGGAGGAGGGCACGGTGAACCACTCCAGTATTCTTGCCTGGAAAATTTCATGGACAGAGGAACTTGGTGGGCTACACAGCCCATGGGGTCCCAGAGAGTCAGAGTTCATCAAACAGTTATAGACAGTGACTGAACTGCTTCTCACTCACTAATTATCCTAGGAGAAATACAATCAGCTTTCACATCAGATTTGTTTCCCTTTTCAATTCTGTTTTTTTTTTTTGAATTTATTTATTATTTTTATTTTATTTTTATTTTTTATTTTTTTCATTTATTTTTATTAGTTGGAGGCTAATTACTTTACATCGTTGCAGTGGCTTTTGTCATACATTGAAATGAATTAGCCATGGATTTACATGTATTCCCCATCCCGGTCCCCCCTCCCTCCCACCTCCCTCTCCACCCGATCCCTCTGGGTCTTCCCAGTGCACCAGGCCCGAGCACTTGTCTCATGCACCCAACCTGGGCTGGTGATCTGTTTCACCCTAGATAATATACCTGTTTCGATGCTGTTCTCTTGAAACATCCCACCCTCGCCTTCTCCCAGAGTCCACAAGTCTGTTCTATACATCGGAGTCTCTTTTTCTGTTTTGCATATAGGGTTATCGTTACCATCTTTCTAAATTCCATATATATGTGTTAGTATACTGTAATGGTCTTTATCTTTCTGGCTTACTTCGCTCTGTATAATGGGCTCCAGTTTCATCCATCTCATTAGAACTGATTCAAATGAATTCTTTTTAATGGCTGAGTAATATTCCATGGTGTATATGTACCACAGCTTCCTCATCCATTCGTCTGCTGATGGGCATCTAGGTTGCTTCCATGTCCTGGCTATTATAAACAGTGCTGCGATGAACATTGGGGTACACGTGTCTCTTTCAGATCTGGTTTCCTCGGTGTGTATGCCCAGAAGTGGGATTGCTGGGTCATATGGCAGTTCTATTTCCAGCTTTTTAAGAAATCTCCACACTGTTTTCCATAGTGGCTGTACTAATTTGCATTCCCACCAACAGTGTAAGAGGGTTCCCTTTTCTCCACACCCTCTCCAGCATTTATTGCTTGTAGACTTTTGGATAGCAGCCATCCTGACTGGTGTGTAATGGTACCTCATTGTGGTTTTGATTTGCATTTCTCTGATAATGAGTGATGTTGAGCATCTTTTCATGTGTTTGTTAGCCATCTGTATGTCTTCCTTGGAGAAATGTCTGTTCAGTTCTTTGGCCCATTTTTTGATTGGGTCATTTATTTTTCTGGAGTTGAGCTGGAGGAGTTGCTTGTATATTTTTGAGATTAATCCTTTGTCTGTTGCTTCGTTTGCTATTATTTTCTCCCAATCTGAGGGCTGTCTTTTCACCTTGCTTATAGTTTCCTTTGTTGTGCAAAAGCTTTTAAGTTTCATTAGGTCCCATTTGTTTATTTTTGCTTTTATTTCTAAAATTCTGGGATGTGGGTCATAGAGGATCCTGCTGTGATTTATGTCGGAGAGTGTTTTGCCTATGTTCTCCTCTAGAAGTTTAATTCTGTTTTTTAAAATTAAATTTTAAAAATTAGGTGATGAATCCTGGTTTTATAAGGTCAAACTGGATTTCATAAAAAAATGTTTCCATTCATTCCTTCTCTCATTTAGTAACTGTGGAATGGCCCTTCCTTGTATAGGAGGTGTTTTCCTAGGATGCAAGAAAAAAAAAAAAGACCCTGCCACTAGATGTGTGATGTTGTGTTAAACGCTGTGTCAACTTTCAGAATGCGTGCACAGGTGAGTGAACACACTTTGAAGGGATGTATGCTGTGTTTAGTCACTCAGTTGTGTCTGACTCTTTGTGACCCTTTGGACTGTAACCCACCAGACTCCTCTGTACATGGGATTCTCCAGGCGAGAATACTGGAGTGGGTTGCCATTCCCTTCTCCAGGGCATCTTCCCGACCCAGGGATCGAACCTGGGTCTTCTGTGCCTCCTGCACTGGCAGGCAGATTCTTTACTCAATGAACCATCAGGGAAGCCTTCCGAAGGGATGAAGAGGCTTAATGATAAGGGCCGGGGAGTCCAGGACACATACTTCCCCGAGCTCTAGCAAGTGCTATCCTTCAAGCATGTTCTGCTTCTCCCTGCGCCACCCCCCTTCGTGGTGAAGTCCACTCTTTCCGAGCTGTTCCCCTACAGCTTGCTTCACTGAGTTCTTCCTGCAGCCGGCTGGCGCTTTCTCCCAGAGCAGCAGGGCTAATGCACACATGCTTGCTATGAAGTCCAGCACGAGGAACCCACTTTAGGAAACGCTCACGTTTCTCCAAGGCTCCTGCACTCCCTCTGTGTTTCTGTCCATCTTCCTCTGCAGTGACGTACTGATGCTGGTACCACAGCCGATGATACTGCCCGTGCAGGGAGGCTAGAGTCCAGCAGATCGTGACCCCCTTGCTGAAAGGCTCCTCCAGGAAAGGCTAGTCTTCAGTTCTGCCTCGCACACTCTTTGCCAGGAGGCCACCCTCGCCCCCAGCTCTGCGGACCACGCTGGGGCCACAGTTACGCTCTCCTTGGCTTGTCACGCAGAGTCCTCGGGCTGTTGTCCCATGAACACGTGCTTCAGGCTGATGGCAGCCAACCTCCCCTCCAGCCCTTGAGATCTGAAACCCCGCTTGAGTAGGGTCATTTTCGAGGGATTTCCTGTCCAGACCAGGTACCACGTCCCAGCTCTTCCCTGGTCAGTCCTGATGACGCCTTTGTTGGAAATAAGTGATGTCGCGGTCCAGTGATGCCTGAGATCTACAAGAGAGGGTCTCCATCCCTGGGGCAAGGTCTCATCACCCTTGGTGCCGGAAGATGGCCTTGCATGCTGTGCATGTCCAGGGAGAGGGGAGGTGGGCTGGGAGAAGTCTGGGGGGAGGCTGGGATGGTGGATTTGCCGTGGTGAACGCGACACAGCAGGACAACTCCACACAGGAGCCCAAGACCAAGGGCCAGCTGGTCCTCGGGAAGTCTTCGTCTGCACGGACTTGACCGCAGAGCCCTTTCTCCCAACAGACACCATCGGTTCTTACTGCGGAGGCCCCCCTGGGGGCGGTCTGTTTGCAGGCCGAGCTCTGAGGCTGAGCAGCTGTGTACCAAGGGAGCAGGAGTTGCAGGTGCCCCTCAGTGGCCCTTGCCTTGGAAGAAGACCTGCCTTAGGGCCCGCGCGCCTCTGGGGAGCTAGAGGGAGCTGGGCTCTGTAGTCAGGGGAGGTGGGAGGAGCCAGCACAGCTGTCCTGCAGTTAAGCCCACGGGAGGGCACCAGGAATGCACTCTGCCCTCCCTGATGGACAGGAAGAGGAAGAAGGGAGGGAAGCTGGCGCTTGCTTGTCTGCCACCCTCTTCCCGGGCATTCTTAAGGCAGACTTCGGGGCAGAGAGAAGTGCAGGAAGAGGCCATTCCGCCCTGGCCACTGCTACCCCAGCCCATCTGCCTTCCAGTTGGCAACACCCTCACCTGAATCTCCAGGTGTGTCCATATAAACCGTGTGACCCATAGTATAACATTGAGGGCAGATCTCAAGCAAACAGTCAAGGTCTCTGGCTACTTCTTCAGCCATACTTTTTGCTGCTTCTTAGTACACATTTCTCTCTTTGTCCTGATTCTAAATGTCTTCCCTCCTGATCTTTCATGCATCATCCAGTGAAAACTACTTGTGTCCATTTTCAGAATTCCATCGTGCTGGTCCGGCTCCCCTGTCCTCGCCCCGCCCCTCACGCTTCTACTGCCAAGACTCTTTCATAACCGCTTACCCAGCTGTCAGTCTCCTAAACGTGGCCATAAACTCCTGGGAGACAAACTTGCTTTGGGTTCTGAGGATCTAGTGAAGTACCAGGTGCATATTTATGCTCTCTCTCTCTCTCTCTCTCTATATATATATATATATATACACATTTTTTTTTTTTTGCTGAGTGAATGCCAGGTGGTTGAGGGTGACGATGTCAGAATAATAATAAGGATTATATAATAATAATAATATAATATAATAATAATCGGCACTGATTACCAAAGTGTTTGTTTTTAAGGATAGAGCACTAAAATCATTGATCTGGTAAGAGCAACCCCTGGTTCAGTATTTACTGAACCCCTGATGTGTTTGGTAACGTGTGTTACCAAAGTGTTCCTAAGTGTGTTAGGAGCATCAGTTCATCTACCCCAAAAAATCCACCTTAGCAGAGAAATGTCCGTTCTCACTGAGAATTGAAAGTCTCAGCTTTCTCATGAGAAGTGAAGTGGAGCCTGTGGAAGCTTTTAATGAAACTTCTCCAAAATCGCCCAGCTGGTTAAGGTGGGAGTGACGGTGATGTCTGAAATCAGGCCCTTTAAAGCCCAGAGCAGCACCCTTTCCCACTGCAGTCTCTTTAATTTGCTGGTTCTGGTCTCCCTAGTGATTAGCCTGCTGACATTCGGTGGCATTTCCGTAGCTAGGAGGTGGGAAGCCGCTGGAAGAAGTCTCCCTTCCTCCCTGGGGGCCTCCCCAGGAAGCACCCTTCCCCTAAGCAAAGCGGATGGATGTTGAATTTAAATAGGCAGCAATGGGTATCTCCAAAGGAGCTATGGAGAAGGTTTCAAAATGCCACGAGATGGACCAAATCCCACGAGATGGACCCCACGGCACATCCAGGCCCGGACTCACCATATTGAACACGGCCATGGTCAATATGATGGCTGTGGTGATGACCGTCAGGGAGATCCGAGGCCAGGGCTGGTTGGCGATGATGCCTGATGACTTCAAAAGCCACAGGAGAGAAGCAGATGCTTTCTTGCTGCATTGCTAAGAGCGGAGAGAAAGAAAAAGAAATGTGTTGCTATTTTGTGTATTTTTCTCAAGTTTCTCAAGGATGTTTAAAACACAAGGTGCACTGATATTCTTCACACATGAGACCAAGAGACCATGTTGTCAATCTCTTACAAGTTGGGAACAAATTCATGGAATTTCTATGACAAATTACGACGTGCTTGTATGTCCTTTAAGGGAGACCTGAAATTATGTTTAAAAATTCTTCTGGTAAAGGAAAAATATGCCAGTTGATTAAACGACTCTGGCAGATGTATTGGGTCTCAGATCACCGCCCTGAGGAAGCTGTTTTCAGAAATTCAGGTGATTTGTGTAGAAAACAGATCAGCATGCAGCTAAACCTAAGAGTTCATCTGGACCACACAATAAACGAGTTTGCACCTGTCCCTATGAGGATGTTACCCAGTGCTCTCAGCTGTGGCTCGTGGTGATGGCTGTGCCTCAACCTGTCCTGAGAGGGCTTCACCCACGTGGAGAAGCTCTACTTTTTATTATAAAAATACTATTTTTAATTGTGTTAAAAACACATGATATAAAATTTACCCTCTTAACTGTTTTTTTTTAACATTCTTCAGTTCAGTTCAGTCACTCAGTCACGTATAACTCTTTGTGACCCCATGAACGCAGCACGCCAGGCCTCCCTGCCCATCACCAGCTCCCAGAGATTACTCAAACTCATGTCCACCGAGTTGGTGATGCCATTCAGCCATCTCATCCTCTGTCGTCCCCTTCTCTTCCTGCCCCCAATCTCTCCCAGCATCAGGGTCTTTTCCAATGAGTCAGCTCTTCGCATGAGGTGGCCAAAGTATTGGAGTTTCAGCTTCAGCATCCGTCCTTCCAATGAACACCCAGGACTGATCTCCTCTAGGATGGACTGGTTGGATCTCCTTGCAGTCCAAGGGACTCTCAAGAGTCTTCAACACCACAGTTCAAAAGCATCAATTTGTCGGCGCTCAGCTTTCTTCACAGTCCAACTCTCACATCCATACATGACCACTGGAAAAACCATAGCCTTGACTAGACGGACCTTTGTTGGCAAAGTAATGTCTCTGTTTTTAATATGCTATCTAGGTTGGTCATAACTTTCCTTCCATTCCATTCTTACGGCTTTTTTTAAAAAAAAAATTGGAGTATAATCGCTTTAAAATATTGTGTGGGTTTCTGCCGTACAACAAACAAGATGAACCAGCTATATGCATACTTATAACCCCTCCCTCTTGAGCCTCCCTCCCACCTCACCCACCCCAGCCCTCTAGGTCATCACAGAGCACTGAGCTGGGCTCCCTGGATTACACAGCTGCTTCCCACTAGCTCTCTGTGTCACATGTGGTTGTGTACATACGTCAACGCTACCCTCCCGATTAGCCCCACGCTCCCCTTCCCCCACTGTGTCCACGTCTATTCTCTATGTCTGTGTCTTGATTCCCACCTTGCAAATAGCTCTTAACCATCTTTAAGTTCAGAGTTCAGTAGTGTTAATTTTATCCACTTTGCTGTGCTGTCTTCCCAGATGGCGCAGTTGATAAAGAATCCACTTGCAAATGCAGGAGATGCGGGTTTGATCCCTGGGTTGAGAAGATCCCCTGGAGAAGGGAATGGTAATCCACTCCAGTATTCTTGCCTGGAGAATTCCATGGACAGAGGAGCCTGGTGGGCTACAGTCCACAGGGTCGCAAAAGAGTCGGACACAATGGAAGTGACTGAGCATGCATGCATGTACACTACTGGATGAGAGATGGTTAGAAAGGTAACCAGCCCTGTGGCTGGGGAATCAAGCCCCCCACAGCTGTGGAACTTTCTGCAAGTTACTGACCCTCTCTGGCCTTGGTTTCTTCACCTCTGAAATAAGAATAACAAGAGTACCTGCCTCTTTGGTTGTTTTAAGAGATTTAAATGAGCTACATAAGGTGCCCAAAACAAGACATATGGTTAGTTTCTCTTCTATTTGTGAAGAAAACACATTTCTCAGGAACATTTCAGTGACTAAAAATCTATTTGCTTTATATCTCTATGCATGTGTGTTGCTTCAGTCTTTTCCAACACTTTATGACCCGATGGACTGTAAACCACCAGGCTTCTCTGCCTACAGGATTCTCCAGGAAAGAATACTGGAGTGGGTTGTCTTGCCCTCCTCCAGGGGATCTTCCCAACCCAGGGATTGAACTGTGTCTCTTACATCTCCTGCATTGGCAGGGGTGGGGTTCTTTACCACTAGCACCACCTGGAAAACCCTAGATGAACATAAAAACCATTTTTTCCCTCTCCTTTCTACTATAGTTTTTTCCCCTCCAGCTCCTGGTATAAAGAGATGCAGAACATGTGTCTACAGCATCCACCCCCGTGATGTGGAATCCTAGAGCTTACTCCTTGGGCAGAGTCTCCTGGGACCTCCTCTGGTTTCTCCTATAGCCTGTCTGGAGGGATGAGCCAGTGCTGCCCTGGGCTCCAGCTGCTGAACCTCAGGCGGGCGGCCAGGCTCTGCAGAGCGTCAAATTCAGGGAGAGCCAGATTTATGCCTTAAGTTTCTTCCCCAAAGCATGGTTTGGATGGGGGTTGGTGATGACCTTAAATCTGTTGTCTGAAGAGAGGCCCTTCAATGCTGTGGACATGTGGATCATTCAGGATCACACAGCTGGTAATTATCCTTCTAGCACATCATACACTGAATAATACTAATACCATAAGCCACAGTGCATTTGAACTGTGGTGTTGGAGAAAACTCTTGAGAGTCCCTTGGACTGCAAGGAGATCCAACCAGTCCATCCTAAAGGAGATCAGTCCAGGGTGTTCATTGGAAGGACTGATGTTGAAGCTGAAACTCCAATACTTTGGCCACCTTATGCAAAGAGCTGACTCACTGGAAAAGACCCTGATGCTGGAAAGATTGAGGGCACGAGGAGAAGGGGATGACAGAGGATGAGATGGTTGGATGGCATCACTGACTCAATGGAGATGAGTTTGGGTCAACTCCGGGAGTTGGTGATGGACAGGGAGGCCTGGCATGCTGAGGTTCATGGTGTCGCAAAGAGTAGGACACAACTGAGCAACTGAACTGACTGACTGAAGCCACAGTCATATCTGTATTCAGGAGGAGAAGCTATAACAGAGTGTAAAGAGCAGAGATTCAAACAGTATATCATACCAGTCAATTCTAAAGGAAATCTGTCCTGAATATTCACTGGAAGGACTGATGTTGAAGCTGAAACTCCAATACTTTGGCCACCTGATGGGAAGAGCCGACTCCTTGGAAAAGACCCTGATGCTGGGAAAGATTGAAGGCAGGAGAAGGGGACGACAGAGGATGAAATGGTTGGATGGCATCACCGACTTAATGGACATGAGTTTGAACAAGCTCTGGGAGATGGTGAAGGACAGGGAAGCCTGGTGTGCTGCAGTCCATGGGGCTACAGAGTCACACAACTTAGTGACTGAAAAACAACAATACCATAGACCAGAGTCAGATCTGCATTCCAGAGGAGAAGCTATAACAGGGTGTAAAGAGCAGATATTCAAAAGAATATCATAGTCATCCAGCTCATATTAAAATAGAAAATGATGCATTTGGCTGGATCCTGGCAAATGAAGACAATATTTATGCATCTGCATCCTAATTGACTAGGATTAGGGTTTTTACTTAAAAGAAAATTATTAAAATGGATGCTTTTGTGTCTGTATCCAGAAACTGTCAATAGATATGATAATAAAAATTTTAAGAGCAGAAAACACAAAACTGTTATTTCGAGAGAGTGTTTAGCTCAGATTCCATGTCACAGTCAATTAGGTAAAATATCTAGTTATTACACAAACATATTGTTGAAATTATAAAATTTTAAAAATTGCTGTTTGAATTTTTAGAGTAAGGCATGGTGATGATATTGCCAAATATGCCATCTAACGGGAATATGTCATGTTCCGCTCATAGACTAGGCATGTGGTGAAGCAGATGAAGGCAGACACACACGTTTTTCTGCTCCTGTGACACGCTGGGGAAAATGACAGGGTGGGGGCCCTGGAAACCATTGTCTCTGTTTGCCCACTGAATACATAGCAGACTGTCCTGGAATCTGTCATGGTCCTATTCAGTCCTGCAAAGAGCAATCTCCTTGAAGCTGCTCGCTAAAGACGCACTGGTTTGGTGTGCATTGGGCCCCAGACACCAGATTCAGAAGGAAGTAGGTTCATTCTGTGTGCCTCCAAGCCCTCATATGCAATCGTTCTTACACCTATTATTCCATATACTCATTGTTCTCCAGGTCACAGAGGCAAGCAGCCTCCCCTATCTTTCCATCTCATCATCCAATCGAAGCAAAGTAATGCAACTGTTCTGAAAAATGAAAACTGGTAACCCTGCTGGTGACAAGGGCACGGATATAGATGGTGGTGATGGGGATACAGATCCTGAAATATAAAGACAGTGCGGAAAGAAGAGGAGGAAGATAAAGACGTAAGAAGTAAGAGAAGAAACCAATGATGGGGGAAAAGGAGAAAAAATATTAAAAACTTAAAGCAGCAAGAATCTGAGCGAGGAAAATGGGAACACTGATTTCATCTGTTGCTCTGAATAAAAATTACAACTTACATCCTAACTTGATAATTTAGTTCAGTTTATTCTGTTTTGGGTTAAGTATTCAATAAAATCCCTGATGGATAAATAGCTGATCAAACTTTACACCATCCTAATGAGACCCTGGGCTTCCCTGGTGGCTCAGAGGGTAAAGCACCTGCCTGCCATGCAGAAGACCTGGGTTCGATCCCTGGGTCGGGAAGATCCCCTGGAGGAGGAACTGAAAATCCACTCCAGTATTCTTGCCTGAAGAATTCCATGGAAAGAGGAGCCTGTCAGGCTACAGTCCACAGGGTTGCAAAGAGTTGGAGACGACTGAGCAACTAATATGTAACAAGACATTACAGGCCTCCCAGGTGGAACCATGGAAGGAAATCCACCTGCCAATCTTGGAGGCGAAGGAGATGAAAGA